ACTGCATTTTAATTTTCATTTTCCTAGTAAAGAACTGTTATTCGTATTCCCATATATTTGCCTGAGAGCACCTTAATTTCAAAATTATAATAATTTGGAGAGAGGGGGTTTACATTTTCCATTTCAAGGGAGACAGCTGTCTTCCTTAGCAGACACCTGTCTTTTCAAACTGAGACAACTAGCACACTGATTTCCGCTTCTGCAGCAAAATTGTGTTTAATTTGTGGAGGACTCCCCTGAACAGAAGCAGTTGTCAGACTATTGACTAATAACATAGAATGCAGATTTTTGTAGCAAATAGCTTTTTGTTTGCACTTGAGTGGACAAGATACCTACAATGGAAGAACAAGAGCCAGTAGATACATTACACACTGAACTACATAGGCACCAGTGGCTCTTGGCACTTGTTCATAGATGGGGGTTTGTACCCCGGGTGTTATACACAGCTGACTAATATCACTTACCTTTTTCATACATCTGAGAACTGGAAAGCACAAATAATGACCATTTCCAGCTACACCACAATTTACATCTCTTCTGGGTGCTCAGTTAGCTGAGCTATTTGTACTAAATTGGAACAGTAGGAATACAGTAATGTTGGCTGAAAACAAAAGCTGAAGCAATGGGATTTTCAGAGCAACTTTAGGGCCTGAAAACTGCTGCAGTCTTCCTGATTTTGCTACAAAAAGATAGTAAGGAGCCCTAGAAATTGCTCTGATTGTGACAGAGAGAGAAAAAAATTCAATTTATCAGCCGGCTGCTGCCTTTAAGCATTGCAGCAGCTTTCAGATACTACCTTTGGGAAGAGGGACTGGCTGATGGAGGGAGTGAGGAGCTCTCCCATAGCATCACCCCTCCAAACATGCAGGATGGCGAGCAGCTGCTGCAAGCCCAGGCGGTCTGCACTGCCCCACCAGTGCAGGAGCAATGGCAGGGGTGTCCCAGCAAGGCCAGACCCTCCTGTGAATTAGCACCACTGACATTCCACTGATGGGCTTTTACTCTCCATGGCATGGTGCTGCAGGATGTTTTGGTCAAGATCCCATGTGCACATGGAGCAAGCATGTGCATCTCTAGGAATGATGCTGGGAAGCATGATGCCCTGAAGTATGCTGGGGAAAGACTTGTCACTGCTTTAATTACATTCAAACAAACACAGCTAGAGTGAGTAATACCATGAGCAGGTCAGGAATTGATTAACCAGTTTGCTGTACCCCCATCCTTTTCTTCCACCTGGCCTGTTTAGAGCAGACCTTGTTAGGAAGGACATTTATTCACTTAGGTGTAACAAAATATGGTCCTCCCTCTCAGATTCCCACCACTGTGGGGGAGTCAGTGGGAAAGAAAGAGTGGGAAAGAGCCCAGGATAATGCAGGAACATTATTTTGTAGATAGACATGTTAGGACAGCACTAGGAAAACAAGGAAAACTTTTTTTAAAAAGTTGACTAAGCATCAGTGTGTCTGAGCAGCAGCTAGAGGAGTCACTGCGAAATATTTGATGAATCATTTAAATTTGAACTGAAGGAATTCAACTACTCTATTATGAGTTTCAAGTGGAGAAAGAATTCCTTGTGGAAATATATAAAAAGCAGTTATTAATATAATGTGAGTATTTTTTCCTATGAAGGTTAGAGTGTTAAGTATGTTGGTAAAACCAAGAGAATATCAAAGGATATCTTGTTTACATAAACAGTGTGTTGGCAATCCAGAAATACCATCCCCAGGAGTTGATTCCGCTGGTTCATACAGGAAGTCAATGCCACTCCAAGGAGCAGGAGGCTGAGATGGAGCCTGACACACTGGGTCTGCTCCGAGCCTTTCAGCAATACTTGGCTGGATGTAGGGGTGCAGTTACATGGCTAATTACTTCTGTTCCATATGGAAATGAGAAGAGGAGAAAATTATCATTATTATCTATTTGAGCACACGATTACCTGAGTGCAGTATGTGGCTACAGTGCTCTGTATTCAATTGCACTCTCAGTTAAACACCTGGATTTCTCCTGAGGGTTGGTCCAGAGACAGCTTCAAGTGATATCTTTATACCCCACCTAAGAAAGTGATTGGGGTGTTAAGAGATTCTGCCTCATACCTGTAAATCAGTGCTTCAGACACTGTCAAAACCTGGTAGGTCTGAAAATATGTTGACAACACTCTGAACTTGATGTGTTCTTGCTCAAAAGAGACCAAGAGAAATCTTCAAGCAATAGTTAATTCAGGACTTGTGTGTGAAAGAAGATAGCAGTGCTTCCAGCCATGGGAGTTAGATTTTGGGGTTTTGGAAGTTTGTCGTTGGGTTTTTTGTTTGATCAGGTTTTGGGGGTTGTTTTTTGGGGACTTTTTTAGGGGCTTTTTTTTGAGTTTCAGGTCATATGGAGTATCTTCAAATCCATCTCTGTGGACTCCCCAGGCAATTCACTGGACTCTGTGAACTCAGTGGACTCAAAGTGGAGAGGTCCCTGTCTCTGTGCTGTGAACAAGGGGAGACAGTTACACCTGACAGTAAGCAATGAAGGCCATCTACCAGTTTCCATTTCTCCATTCAGCTTTTACATTTGAAGAGCTTCTCAGCTTCATGGGTACCAGGAAGACCTTGACAGCCAGGGATGCTTAAGGAGCCAAATAATCTATACTGTGTTTGACTTGTCTGTGTTGAGATGTCTTTGAGGTCACTGTGGGAGTGGGTTCAAGACAACCTGTGAGACTGACAAGGGCTGGATCAGACATGGATGCTGTAGCACATGCACTCCTTCATCCTCTTCCTCATGCCAGGCCAGAGCTGACTGTGCAGACTCCCTGGGACTGCAGCGGATATGAAGCAGGAGGATTTCCTATTCCATTACTTAGTAAAGACAATTTCAAAGCAACACTTGCAAGTTAGGCTTATTAGTGGACTCACTTCCTTAACATCCCCAAACATGGGGCTTGGTCTTCATAGAAGTCAATTCACTTTGGCTTCACTGGGCAGGGATCTGCTTAAGCTGAAACCACCCTGCTGGTTCTCCATGTCCCAGTAACATGCAGCACCCACATACCAGCATGCCACCAGCAACTCCACATTGCATTTAGAGCTCCAGCTGACTTGCAGTGAAAGAGAAACACTAAGAAATCCTCTCTACCAGCCAGAAGGAGTTCTGGAACTACTCCACCAGCAGCTGCAGTAACACACTGTGTAGCAGAAGTCCCTCCTTCCCCTGGGGAGACAGAGCTGAGTTGGTTCTTGAAATGACAGAGCACACTCAAGGTAGAGTTGATGTGTACTCAAAACAATTCTTATTCATCCATCTATCTTCTAGGAAGTGTTTGGTGCTCCTTTCAAGTGAGGCCAGCTAGGCAGACCCACAGAAATGTGAGTGCCACTTCCCTGTGCCTGAGAATCACCAGCTCCACAGTGGTGACATTGTCCAAGTCACATGCACGAGGTTGCTTATTCCTCCAGTGTGGGCCCATAATTACCCATCCGTGCCCAGAAGGGCAGGCAAGCTCTCAGGCAGCTCACAGGAAATAATTACAGAGCAGCTCACCTGCCTGCAGTACAACACTCTTCCTGATACATCCCAGAGGCACCAGCATTACTCATAGTGGGTGACATTTCCCAGCCTGATTCTCATGCCCTGGCTCAGCCATCCATCCCACTCCTATCTGAGGCTGGTCCAGCCCAGGACAGCACATTGATCAGGGGAGTTGGGGAGGAAGTGGAGATCACGGCTCTGGCTGTGGGAAGCAGCCTATCAAGAAATGCTTGTTTAACACATGGCAGATCAGCTTGCCTCAGGAGTGAGCTGTTTCTGTAAATCAAATTGCTTCTCATGAGTCAGGAGCCCAACCCTTTATTACAGAGTCACGTATTTTCAGAAATCACTGTAATACGGGGATTTTTATTGTTAACATTTTTTGGCTTTCACGTACCAGTCTGAGGAGGGATCTGACTCCTTAGAATTGTTAAGAGCGTGGGTTTCTGTGTACTGCCAGCACCCAAAGGAAGTGAAAGCCTGTAAAGGGATACCAGGAAACCCATTCTCATTTGCCAAGAGAGACAGATCAGTCCTTCTTCTCTGAATGCTCTTGAGGTCCCCTGTCCTAAAAATGACATCCACAGACTGTAAGCTCTGTGGACCACTACTAAAAATCACCACATATGGCTGAGAACGCTAGAATTAAATTTGTAATACTCAGCTGCTGTAATCTGCAAACAGTGCTAAGTGGTAGCAAGAAGCAGCAACCACCTTCCAAAGCTCTTTGCAAGTACATACTATCAAGAGAATCACTTGTCAGCCACAGCAGGTCCTCACTTCTGCTCAGCCCCTAGGAAGTCACACTGAGGATGATTGCCATGCAGATCTTTATAGAAATTTCATAAAATATAAGATGAAAAATAATTATTGAGTTGTCTAGACTAGCTACCCATCCATCTCTTATATGTGTAAAGTGAGTATTTGCAGCAGAAGACCAAAAGTTTAAAGTGTGTTGGAGTAACAACAAACAGCAATAGAAGCATGCAAAAAGCTCTTTACCAGCATTGCTTAGCAGCTGCAGTAATGGGAAACAAGGCTACAAATTACTTCCAGAGTTCTGTATTTCCATTGTTTTAAAAACTACAACCCTTTTTTCAGAGCATTACAAAAGCATCCTGCCTGCAGATAGGCTTTTTTATGTTTCTTAAACACTGCTTGCAAACATAAGTGCAGGTATATGGTTGATGTGAGAGAGCCCTTGGGGTTGAGAAGCTCCACACAGGGATGTTTTGGGAAGTCTCTGTAAACCACTGTTTCCACCCCTGGATTTATGAATTCCACAGTGGGCACTTGCTGATACAGTGTTTCATCCAACTGCAGGATTTTCTGTGAGGTTTTGGGACACAGTAAGACAAAGCAAAGCACACACTGTTCCCAAGGCATGGCAATGCAAGCCAACAGCACTGCTGGGTGCTGCCCTTCTTCTTGTGATGATGGGTGGGAAAGGGGGCAGCAGAGGAGAGCAGAGCTTGGCAAGTACCTGCTTGGTTCATTGGTGTCCACACACACCTGCTTATCCTACATATGGTATGTGGTGATGCCCCTCAAGGTTATTTTGCCTGCAGGTCCCTCTGCTCAGTGTTCTGCTTGCAGACCATGCTGATGCTCCCCTGCTCTGGGGACAATTTCCCTGGATGAGCATGCCTGTGGGGAAAAGTTCACATCCCTTGGCTTAAAGGTGCATCCCAAAGGAGTCAGCAACCTACGGGCACCACTGCCTGCAGACCCCCCTCACTCTCCTGTGGGGCACATGGCGAACCCTCAACCCCCTAGTTTCATGTGCCTGGAAGGTTTAACTTCAAATTCTTTTTTGAGCTGTTGCTTACCCTGCAGAAGTTTTGTTTTGATACACACCCTTGTGTTCAGCATCTTTGCTTTGTAGTGGCTTTTGCGATCCCTACTCATGTATCAGAAAGGAGACTGAGCTCCATGCTCAGTTTGAGTGATCTGCTCCAGACATCATCTCTTCAGACTGGGCTTGGCAAACAAAACCCCCTCTGGGAAATAAAGGGCTCAGACTCACCAGGCAAGAGAGACCTCCTGAAGGACTCATGTAGATCTGAAGAGTATAGAGTGTGTCAGAGGTTTAAAGCCATCAGAGGGGTGTACAGGCTCCATACAGGAGGGACACTTCACATGTTGTCAGCCTTTGAAATCAGCTTTTAAATGAAAGTTTGGTCTTCAGACCAAAAAAGTGATGCCTTTTATGAGTAATAAAGTACAAAGAATTTTTTTTTTATGGATGAAACTACCATTCAATATAAAATAAGCTGGCCCTTTTGATTTAGTGATAAACCAAATTCATATTTCACCTTGGGAAAATAACACATCATCTGGCTTGCCACTGGGCAGATGCCTGAGAGACAAGGGTGTTGGTGCTGCTCAGGCTGGGATTTTGTGTCACAGGCCAGTCTGAGGGAATACATCTCATGTCCTGGGCTCCAACACTTGCCAGAGGTGATGGGATGGAAGATGATGGTCAGTACCATTGTTGGGAATTTTGGGCAGCCACACTGTAGCAACACTGTGTACGAAACTGCATGCAAATCGTGCTCCCCACAGCCCATGGCCCTGCTGCCCAGCCACTGTGCACATATCCCTGCCTGTCAGAATCTGTGGGTATTGGTGATTCCGAGATTGTAGAAAGTCTCTGTCTTTCTGCCCCATTGCCAAAGAAGAAGCCATAATTCGTCTGTGCTGTTTTCAAGGTTGTTTATTCTTGCTTATCTCTAACATGTTCTGCTGCCCTGACGCAGGTCTGTCCTGCAGGGCAGCGTGTGGGGCTCTGCCCCCAGTGGGATGTTACAAACATTATATACCAGAAACTACCTGTGCTATATTTACAATAATGTGCCAATACCTATCATCTACGTTAAACAGCGTGTCCCCAGCCTAAACCAATAGAAAAGTGCCAACACTGCAGTGAAACATGGAGGGCATGAAGAAGGAGGAAAAGGACAAGACACACCCAATTCCTCCATCTTTTCCCCTCTGAACCCCTAATCTAGAAATCTAAAATTTTACTTTTGCACCCGTGCCACACTTAATTATTATTCTTATCAAACCCTCAAAGCTTGTAATTCATCCTATAAGATTGAAAACTCTTTTCCATGGACAGAGATCACAGACAGTGTCTCTCGGGGCTCTGTCCAGGGGGGGTTCCTGACCCCCTGCCAGGGTCCCAGACCTGCCAGGGCAGCCAGAGGGAAGCCTTGGATTCCCACACCTGCCTGGTCCAGCCCCAGCCCGTCCTGCTGCCCTGGGCTCCCCTGGGCAGGGCTGGGAGCCGCACAGGGGCTGCTGCTCCCATGGTGACAGCAGAACGGCGGCGTCCCCGATCCCTGATGTCACAGGGCGGCTTGCTGGGAGGTGCAGGAACACCGGCAGCTCCGCTCCGCTGGCACCGCCAGATGAAGCTCTCGGGGCACTCAAGATCGCCCTCCCCCTGACAGCTCGACCATGTCGACGCACTGTTACTTTGCGACAGAGAACCTGAGGCACATAGAGAGGCAGATGAGGATGATGGACCTGCGCCTGCAGCTGCTCCGTGAGAAGCTGTGTGCAGTCCGCCTGCACAGGTGCGCCCTTTCCTGCTCCTGCCCGCCCCATCCCTGCCTCCGGAGAAGGTGCATCTCAGCAAGTGAGAGGTAAGAGAGAGCTGCCTGCTTTCTACAGACTTTGGCAGCCTTTGGGGTAGGATAAAGGGAGGTTTGACATTGCTATCAGGAGCAAAGGTTGAAACAGGTAAGTAGGATGGGAGCAAAATAGCCATTTTGGAGAAATAAATTGAAAGGGATACAGGAAGGTAAAGATTGTTCTCTTGTTTTAATTCCAGAAGGAAAAGACTTGGCATGATGTTGAACTCATGCTCTGGTAAAAATTTGGCTTTGATCAATGTGAAGGGGTTTGACCCCAGGGACATCACGGTAACGGTGAAGGACGGGAAGGTGACCGTGTCAGCAGAGCGCAAGGTGGAGAGCAGCACCGGCTTCACAAAGACATGGAACTACAAAAGACTCGTAAAGGAATTCTGCCTGCCGCCAGGGGTGGATGACAAGGAGGTGACCTACTCAGTGGAATCCAAGTGCCCCAGGGAGCCAGCCAAGTGCTGCCTTTCTCCCTGCAAATACTGAACCGCAGCAGGAAGCCAAACCAGCCACAGCCATTCTTCTGCCTCACTCCTTCTCTCCATCACATTTAGATCTGTCCCAATGACGGTGTGTCAGCAGCTTCTCTTACTTCTGCCATTAAAGAAAACAGCATTCTGAGCAGGTTGTGTGAGCCTAATTTTGAAGGAATTTGGTGGACAAAAGGGGAGGGCCACCAGGAAAACACAAAAATATTTTTGGGCATACATGACTCTTGGTCACTTGCTGGGTACTGAAGGCAGGGCTAGAGGTGGTGGACTCAGGGCATACAGTCTCATGGATTTTAAAACCTGAGAGGCACCACTTATGATCAGTCACATTTCTGTCAGGACAATTCTCTCAATTCAACCTCTTCCATTTGTGCTGTAGGGTATTTCTAGGAGGAAAGTCTTGAAGAGAAACACCTTGAGGAGAAGAGCCTTCTCCCCAAAAAATCAAGCTGTACCCTTTGCTCCCTTGGTTTGGTTCTTGCACAGAGTGCTTGGCTAGGAAAAGCTGCAGATGAAGGACAGAGAGCTTTTCCTGAGAAGAGTTGTGATTAGGGTAGAACTCTTACCAGCTGAGGAGGGAATGACAGCATTTCCTGCTGAATCAATGGCTCCAAAATAATAAGAAAACGTTTTTCATGTTGGAAGAGGGGGAGAATTGTCAGTGTAATTGCTTGAAGGCAATTTTAGTTTTGCCACTCTAGCTTCAGCACTTGGGTATGCACTCCTATGGGAAGTAGTATCACCTCCCATTGCACACAGGTGTGTGACAGAACATACCTGGTGCCTGCATTTACCAGCCACCTGGGCCAGCATCTCCCCAGTGAGCACCACCTGGTTCAGGCTGCATGAGTGCCTGGGGCTGGAGGGAGGAAGGTTACCACCTCTTCATGCGATGCACTCCCCTTGCAGCACTTTCCTAACAGGGAACTCAATGTTTTAGGTTGTGCTGACACAGAATCTGATGTTCCCTAACCTGCTGGGGGAGCGGGTGAGCACATGTGGGCTGGTGCTGTGCAGGTGTGCTGCACTGCTGAGACTCTTCAGAGTGGAGTGTTGTCCCTGCCATTAACCTGGCTGAGAAATGCATTGGGTTGCTGTCACCTATGGGGACCCTGGCCCCTAAAGGACCCTCACACCAACTGGGTCAATGTGTCCCAGCGTAGCCAAGGAGTCCCTAGTGCCAAAAGCACCCACTCACTGCTGCAGTGACTATTCCCCTGGAATAGGGGGACTATTCCCCTGGAAACACTCACGCCTGAAGAAGACAGCCAGTCCTTTCTGTGCAGCCTGCCAACACACAGCCTCACTGCCACGGTTTACTTTCACCATGAAGGTGGTGAATCACAGGGGATGGGTTACAGAGCAGAGAGCCCACGGCTGGGAGCACCACGGCTGGGGGCAGCCCTTGGCTCCATTGCCACCTGCTCCCATCCTCTGGGTGGGAGCTCCTCCAGTCAAACATGTTACAAGCAGATCAGTTGAGGATCAGTTTAGCTTGGCTATAAACAACTTGGTAATTTAACTTTGGTGCAAGAAATTAACTGCTTCTGGGATATTTTCAGCATCCAACTACCACTTAAAATAACACTTGTTAATAAATGTTAAACTTCATAGGCTTAGTGTATAGCTGGGTCAATATAGAACCATACCACCATGGAATAGTTTTGGTGTTAAGGGACTTTTTGAAGGTCACCTTATGTAATGCCCCTACCATGACCAGGAACATCTTCCATGAGACCAGGATGCTCAAATGCCCATCCAACCCATCCAGCCTCTGGGCAACCGGTTACCCACTGGGTCTCATCACCCGCATCATAAAAATAAAAAAGAAAAATTGCTCATGTCACATTTAAATCTAATATTTTTCAGTTCTACAGGCCTTGGTATCAAGGGTCTCTTCATCATTCTTATAGACATTCCTAATATACTGAAAGGGTGCCCATGCACAGGCAGTCTGATTCTGCTGGTGTTGGCCAAGGATGTTTAGACCTAAGCCACCCCTCACCTGGGGGGCTAAGAGGGAGCCTCCAGTGAGAGCACACAGCAGGGACGGGGACTGGGGATGGACTGGGAAAGACCATCTTCCTACAAAGCAACCCACCACGTAATAAAACCAAAACCCCTCTGTGACAGGGTTTTTGCATTTTGTAATGATTTCTACAGAAGCTGTCTAAGCATGCAAAAGGGAACCATATTTCAACACCTCCCCTCTGCCCGTGACTTGCAGAGCATATCGAGTCCCACAGCAATCACAAGGCTGGCTATGACTACTCTTATCCTTATTGCTCATCCTTTAACACATGCTCTTCACACGCTGTTCCTAAATTAGGTTCCTTACACTCTTAAAACCAAATTAGACTCTTGAGCACTTATTGACAGATATGACTTTCTGAGGAAAATTCTGAATTCATATTACATCCTGTGAGTTGCTAGTCTAGGCTGGTAGGAGCATCTTGGAGACCTTTTCTGTAATAGAAGCAAATCACTTAAATAGTCACTTAGTTTTGTTAATACCTACATGCTGTTAACAATTTGGAACTTAGCCCAGAACTTATAATAAACAAATACTGAGAGTTTTGAAGAAGAAAATACCTTTGGAAAGCCACCACTAACCCAGCAAGCCATAACATCATCATCTCCCATTAAAAAAATTCATTTACCACTAGGTGGCAGATACTATTTTTAAAATTTACCACCGTGCAACTCTTTTATTCAGAGCAAACACACTGAGGGTGTGTCACAAAGCAAAAAGGCTGGCACACGCCAGAGCTGGCGTTTTTTTCTGTTACAATAATAGCAAGTGAAGAGGAGGACAAGAGACAGAGCTGTTTTGTGATCCTGGGTGTGCAAGAGCTCTCAGGACAGACCACCATGACAGTAGGTTACTACACTGAATGTATATCTCCCCCATGGAGATAAGGCTCCTGTTTAAGGCCACTTTAATTTGCTTCAGCAGCCTGTCTCTGCCACAGTTGTCAGCCCAACAGGGGCTTCCAGTGGTTCATGTACTCTTCAGCACGTTGTTGCAACAAATTATTTCTGAGGCCAATCTTGACCATCCTCATGCAGCAGATACTCTCTCTGAATTCCTACAATGAGGAAGATATCAGAGAGGGTGAATTGGCTCTGTGGTTCTAAATGTTAGTGCATTCTTGAACTCTAGTCTTATGGAGGGCATTTATAAATAGCCAAGGAATTTGTAATGAGAGGTCATCTGAGGATGCTAAATCCAGACCTCTCCTCGGTCATCAATTCCTAGGGATTTTCCTACAGCCAGGCAGTGCTCTGCTGTGCTCTTCACAGGCTTAGGCTGTGCTGAACTGTTGTTTCTCTCTCTGCTATTGAAAACCTGGGGAGGGCAGTGCCATCATGAGAAGGTGGAAAGATCCCATCTTTCCTCTCTGGTGCCTCGGTGCCCTGCTGCTCCTGAGGGCACAGCGCTGCTCGGGCAGGGGGCTGCTGCTCCCAGGGGGCAGTGCCTGCTTGGCAGGGCTCTTCCTGCCAAGGACTGAATTAAATGCCTGTCACAGGGGCCAGCTCCGCTCTTCACACCTCCTCGGAGCATGGCAAGGCTTTTGGCATCACCCCAGCCAAGGGGGCTGGTGCAGCTGTCCTCCACTGCACCTCCACATGAGGTGAGAAGCTTCATCCATCCATCCTGTTTGTGCGTAAAGTTAATTGTCCTTGCTAAGCTCTTTGGCATCTCAGTCTCTTAGGTAAACTTTCCAAGCCTGTTTTCCATCATCTGCCCTGGAGAAAGCCCTAAGAGTTTAGAAGAGAGAGCAGGACCCATGTCTTCAACTCTGCCTCTGTACCAACGACTCCACAGATTTGTTGTCATTCTGGACTCTGCACTTGCCACCTCATTAATAACCCTGCACTGAATTTAGGTTAGGAGTAAGCTGATCCTTCCAGCACACTCAGCACGACTGTCATGAAGCTGCCACCTCCACGAGCATGGGACACTGGCGCTTGCTTCTCCTCTTTAACCCTACAGGTCCTTTCCCTGGTCTCTGGAATGAAAAGGAAGTTTTCCATCTCTGTCTGTGTTCTAATTCCCTCTGCCATGCCATTTGTGCCCCTCCAATTGCTGTAGGTCAGGCCTTTCTTTTGACAAGTGATGTATGAGGGCTTGTTTCTTCTCTTGAAACCCCACTCTATTACAAAAAGCTTTGCTATCCTAGAGGTTTTCCTTTCGATAGCCCTGCTATGTGGTATGAAATCCTCCCCCATCCAATTGTCTTTCTCAGTTTCAACATCAATTATAAATAATTGCAGGTCTCTCAGCTCTCTGGTTGCTTGTGCTGGTCCCTATCTTGGGGTGTTACACGGAGTCTTTAAAGGCCTGCAAGTGACAATAATGCTAGAATTTAAAAATCTGAAAACTAAAAGTCACCAGCCCCCATACCTCACTAGAACAGATTTTAACTTGCTAGAAAAATAAAATACAGCCTCCTTTTTTGTTTGTTTGGGTTTGGGATTTTTTTGCCATAGCTTTTTGCATCTCCACATGTGCGTGCAGAAAAGCCTGCAAAAGGGAGAGCTGCCAGGGCTCTGACTCACAGTCACACAAGTGCATGTGGCACTTTAGAACATGTCAAAAGAGAAAACAAAATCCTCTCTCTGCTGAGGTCTGGGCCCCAAAGGCCTGGAGAGTCCTGGGTCCGACAGAGAGGAGCAGGACCCGCAGCAGCCACAGGACACGACCCTGTCCCCTCACACCCCTGCCCCGGGGCTGCCATCTGGGGGTCACCAGCCAGCACATGCCTGTGCCTGTGGGACACAGGGTGCTGTTCCTGCAAGCACAGCACCAGGAACACCACCCAGAGCGTCTGCCTGCGGCCCAGTAAGAATTTCCAGGAGAATGTGAGCAGGAGTCACGTCAGTGGAAGGCAGAGGGACCTGGGAGAGTTTGTCAGAGTGCTCACAGCCCGGGGACAAGCAGCCTCACACCAGGCACAGGCAAGGCACTGGAGCCCGGCTTTGGGGACAGACACGGGGACAGACTCCTCCAGAGCCCAGCAGGGAGGGAAGGCTCTGTCCTCTGGCAGAGCAGAAGAGGGATGGGGAAGAGGAGAGGCTGGGGCCATGCAAGGTGCATTGAAGGCACTCAAACCTGAGCACAGCCCA